CCCCCCGTCCCCCAGAGGCCACAAGTGAGGACAAGGGGAACACTTTAGAATTAACAAGTCCAGTGGCTTTCAGAAGCTTTCCACCTCTCCTTGATAGGGTCCCACAGACAGTCCGGAGGAGTCACCTGGTCTGTAAATAGACAAGTTTAGGAGGGGTCCTGGCTTCTAGGATCGGACTTGGTGTCTGTGTTGCAAGTCCCCAGACTGTGTCTCTTGGGATACGTGACTTCACCTAAGCCTCAGCCCTTCGAGCTGGAAAAGAGAAAACCTACCTCCCTGGCTGGGCTTCTGGGAATCAGAATGCCCAGTTTGGCGCCTGGCACTTACGCAGCCTCCTGGAACCATTGCGCCCCAGCCTCCTCAGAGCAGCCTGGTGGATGTAGGATGTAGCATGCCCCAGCCTCAGCCCATTCCTATCTGGCTAAGACTCCAGCCACCACTGCCTAGGGATGGAGGACTCCCATAGCCCTTGGGCACACTTAGTCTGGACCATCTGTCTTACTGGATGGCCTCTCTTGCTGATCTCATCCAGTGTGGGCTAGAGACACCTGCCTGGTGCCCAGGTAAGCTTGGGGCTGGTAGAAGATTCTCAACATCCAGCATGACTGATGGGAAACCTAGACTCCTGTCACTCCTCTGCACAGCCCAGACAACAAGCACTTCCAAGGTCTGCTTTCTTCAAACATCTTGCCAAAGGGAAGTGGACGGGAAGGTCTGAGCAGAGCCAGACTTGGAGCCCACATGGATGCAATGGCCCTCTATACAGCTACTGGACAATCTGACACCCTAGTATATGACCAGTTAGCTAAAAGCCAGTGGCAGCTTCAAGGCCACCAGCTCTACCTCTGATCCTTGAGGAAGGCCTACTGGGAGCCCCTTCCACTCAGAACAATCCCTTTCCTCTGATCCCTGCAGAGAGAGGGGAGCGAGCCTTGGGCTACCTTTTAGCCGATTTTCCCCAGTCACTGCACTCCACACACCCAGCACTGTGGGGAGAATGAAGGAGAACGTAGAATTCATCCAGGTCCCAGGGAAAAGTAGAGCCCAGCGTCCGTGAGACCAGAGGCTGGTGCACGTTAGCCAGAGTTTGAATCCAGAGGCAAGTTCTGTAGACTGGTCTAGTCCAGATGCAGCTGGGAAATGGGTGGGACAAATAACTATGTGCTTGACTGGTAGCTGAAAGGTTATGTGCCCAATTAGAAAGCTGAACTCACCCAGAGGTGCTTTGGAAGACAGGCCCCGGGACCTGCCTTGAGGTTCAAAGCCTTGAGAGCCCTGTAGAGCACAGTTGACTCTGCGTACAGAGCCACCACAAACTGGAATCACTTAAATGGCAACTGCTGAGTCAGAACTGACTCATAGCAAATCCTCCAGTGGTTTTTCAGAGGCTATAAATCACATGAAAAGAGATTGCCAGTCTTTCTCCCACGGAACAGTGGGTGGATTTGAACGGAATTCCTCTGAGTTAGCAGCACAACTCCTTACCTCTAAAGCCTCCAGAGCTCTCCAGGGGCAACAACAAAAACCCCAGCAAGAGGTTAAGTCTTAGGGAGCTCTGGTGGCCTACTGGCAAGACACTGCACTGCAATCCCAGAGGTACACGGTTCAAATCCACCAGATGCTCTGCTGGAGAAGGAGGGGGCAATCTCCTCCTGTACCAGTCAGATCTGATTTGACGGTACATGTAAAAATAATACAATAAAAATTAAAAAAAAAAGAGGTTAAGTCTTGCTAGTGACCCACAGCTAGGTGTGACCTGTTAGCTGATGTCCCCAGTACAAGGAACCTAGCAATGGAGCTGTCAAGAGAGGGATGTAGAGGTGCCAGAAAACTAGGGTGGGGTTTTGCTTGAAGCCAATGGAAGGACCGGATGACTGGCCCTCACAGACATGGGTTAGGCAGGAGGTTGGACAGGGGGAATCCTGGGGTGGAATCTCCAGGTGACATTAGTAGGAGAGGACACAGCTCCGGCTCACTCATTCTCCCATCCCATCACAACAGCACTTCTCTTGAAGAGGAGGCTGAGTATGAAAGAAGGAGAAGCTGAAGGGTCCCAGCATGCTCTGCCACAGCTGGGAGCTCCCTTTGGAGCACATGGGACCTTCCATAGACTCAAGGCCTGTTTAATGCAGAAGGGTAAAAGACACCCAAGGTGGAGATGATGGCAAACCGGAGGGCAGCCCTGAGCTCTCACAGCACCAACAGCCTCAGGGCAAGCCATGGACCTGACTGGAGAAGGCACCAAGGGATGGCCAGATGGACTCGGGCCAGGTGGCATCATGTTATGTATTAATTCTCGATAGTCAGGAGGTCCCTGTGGATTGGGTTGAACAGAATGACAGTCACCTGTGTCTCCATAGCTCGTCTTGCCAGCCCAGGGCCTGGCATCAAGCAGGCAATTAACTAGGCAAGAGCTGTGTGGAACTGCAGAGACAAGGGTGGAGTCCGAGCCCAGATAGGCCCTGGTCACAGCCTCCACCCACTGGTGATGGGGACCAAGCCCATGTGTGCCATAATCACTGAGCTGCTGGTGGCAGCACTGCAAAGCTGGACCCAGATGTGGGGGGACAGCATCCAGCAAGGGAGCCCCCCAAAAGCCATCAGAAGGGACAGTTTGAGATTGATGTCCTACCCCCAAACCCCCTCCCTTGGCAACTTCACAGCCAAATGAGACACGTGCCTGGAGCCAGGTTCAGCCTGCATCAAACCACTTCCCGCCCACCCACAGTGACCAGGGTGAAGGTGGCGGGTGGGCCAAGGAGGGGGCTGCCACCTCCTACCTCTCCTCCTGCCCCTAAATTGAGCCGCTTTGATCCAATTTTCAATTGTGGGAAATATGAAATGAATGGTGTTAAATCCTGTCCCAGCCTCAGGCCTCGGTCAGGGGTGGGTGGGTGGGGGGTAGAGGGAGAGGTGGCCGCCTGGCCCGATGAAAGGCCTGCTCCCTCCCCCGGTGCGGGCCAGATGGCTGCCCCGCGGAGGCTCTGGAGGCCTCTGAGGCACACGCCCGGCTTTTGTGGGCCGTTTAACACTATGAATGAGGCCAAAGTGTGGGAAAGGAGCTGGGCTCCTGGCTCACACCATCCGTGGTGAATAGCACCCGCGTGGCCAGGGAGAGGCTGTCAGGGAGGGGAGGGGGGTGGAGAATGGGTTCCAGGCAGACCTTGCTGTGCAGAAGCCCAGTGGAATGTTGGGGAGGAGGTGGCAGGGGGGCTCTGCCTCTCTCCTTGGCTACTGCCTAAACCTGAGGTGGGGTAGGACTGGGATGGCTTCTTTGAGGAGGGAGGGGAACTTGTCCCACTTGGCCACCCCACAGCCTTCATAGGGATGAAGGGCCAGCTGGTTGGGTGGGATGTGTGTGGGTGTCTGGATGCAGTGATGCCCCTATTAGGAACACCTATCATGGTCTTGGTGCAGGCTTCTTGGCTCCAGGCAAACCCCACTGTTGTTATGTGCCATCAAGTTGCTGGTGACTCCTAGCGACCTTATGTACAATAGCTCTGAATCCTGTCCTATCCTAAGCCACTCTCACTGACTCCAACACAATTACCCCTATTACCCCAGTCACTGAGTCAATCCCTCTCATCCACGGTCTTCCTTTCTTGTGCTGTCCCTCCACTCTCCCAAGGATGATATCCTTCTCCAAGGACTGGTCCCTCCTGGCCACATAGTCAAAGTATGTGAAATGGAATGTCAAAAGCCTTGCCTCCAAGGAGCAGCTTGATTTCAGCCTCTCCAAACACAGACCTGTTTGTTCTCTTGGCAGTCCATAGTACGTTCAAGACTCTTCTCCAGCACCACAAAGGCATCAATTCTTATCATCCTTAGTCATTGTCCAGCTCTCTGATACATACCCCATTGTTGTGGCTGTATACTGTAGAGTCAGAGCCAATCCTTAGCTGACCCTCCATCGGGTTTTCAGAGGCAGTTAATCACATGGGAGGAGATTGCTCATTCTTCTCCTGTGGAGCAGCTAGCGGCCTCGAACTGCATTCCTTTGGGATTGCAGCACAGCTTCTTGCCAATAGGCTATTCTGCTAAAGTCTGCCAAACTCTTCTATCAAGGTCCCTATGGGTTCTAAGCAGCTCTTACCTCCAGTGACACCCCTGGTCCCAGCTGCCTAAAAAGGACTCTATCAGAGAGCAAATCCGGGGCAGGAGAGTCTCAGGGCCATTTGTTCTCAGTTACCGGAGGGAGACTTCTTGAAGAAAAATCTCAAATTTTTATCCCCTACTTCTCCACCCAGCTCTGGTTCTTAGTGGTAAGGAGTAGCACTATTGTTGTATATTGGAACTGACTCACACATCCAGTGCCAAAGACATGCAGTTCAAATCTACCAGCTGTTCTGCAGGAGACAGGCAAATCCTGTGCCATTTACAACTAATCAAGGTCAGCTGGAGGGTCGGCTGAGTCTGGTTTGAGGGCATATAACAACACCTTCCACACAGATATCTATTCACACCCATACTTTCCCTCCCACCCCCAACACACACATGTTGGACCTCTAATCAC